GGGAATAAGTAGTCAAAGGACTACAATATCCGGCATAAGGACATACGCGGAAGTAGAAAGGCAGCAGTAATCGATTGTAAACAGACTGATGTTAGTGCTGACTGACTCAGAAGTTACATATTCAATATAGCCTACATGACTTTTACTGTTATAGCGTTGTTTAGCGCGTTATGAATGTGCAAAATGTCCACATAAATGTAGTAAGTATATTTTGTTTGATTTCCTTTCATATTTTATGTAAAAATGCTAAATGTTTCTGTATTTTTGTAGAGTGTAACTAGAAACTTCCTGGCAGATGTGTTGAATCAAGTTGGAGCTAAACTGTGCTGGACACCGGCCCTCCAGGACACCCCTGGTGTAGGGGATATACAGTAATATGGAGTTTATAAAGTACAAAAATTATATTGATGGACAGTCCCCACAAAACATGGAAACATTTAGTAAAATCAGCTATATTTTTAGCCATGTTATCATATTTAAAGCTGATTTATAATCTTAAACCAAGATATAAAATCAAGTATTAATTCTAATAAATTTGTGCTTAAGAAAGCCTCATGGATATTAACCGTTTCCTTCTATTTATTTATTCATTCATTTATTTATGTTTTATTTATTTATTCCTATATTTATTTATATATTCCTATATTTATTTATGTTTTATCTATTTATTTATATATTTGTATATTTATTTATGTTTTATTTATTTATTTATTTATTTTTATAATCCTATATTTATTTATGTTTTATCTATTTATTTGTTTATTCCTATATTTATTTATGTTTTTTCTATTTTTATTCCTATATTTATTTATGTTTTATATATTTATCTATTCTTATATTTATTTATGTTTTATTTATTTATATATTCCTATATTTATTTATGTTTTATCTGTTTATTTGTTTATTCCTATATTTGTTTATGTTTTATCTATTTTTTATTCCTATATTTATTTATGTTTTATCATGTATTTTAGAATATCCTGGCTATATTCACACACTGTTGTCACACAACCCCTTTTAAAAGGGATTTATGCATAATAGGTCCTCTTTCAAACAAATAAACAAATTAATTAAATAGCCTTTACACTGTGTTACATCCTCACTGGACTTTACACGTCTAAAGCATCGTCGAAAACAATGTCAGGTTTTGCTTTTTATGAAATTAAGCTCTATATTTCCATGAATGCGCCACTGAAATGCCCAAGGCAAGGCTGTTCAAAGAGGTTCGTATCTCCGAAGACCCGCTCTGAATGGTGTCATTGTGGATACAGCAGTGCGTAACACTAACCTGGTTTAAACAGTGTATAGGATGCACCCTGACTTAACCACGGGCAAAGTCATTTTAGTGCAGCGTTAAATAAATCCCCATCCAGATCTGTAGTAACACAGCCCAGCAGTTATTTAGCACTCAAAAAAGCTCAAAAGTCACAGGTTATCCACAAGAGTTCTGTTTGTGTAGATGATCAGCCACCCACAACTGTGCTATTTTACCTGCAGCCAATTAATGGCAGTGTACTCCTGTTATTCACTGTAAAAGCTGCTGGGTTTCATACAATCGATGTAAAGGAATTAACATAAAGGAATTAAGTTAGGGCGACACGATGCCTCAGCTAGGTTAGTTGGCATTTCTGTGTCGAGTTTGCATGTTCTCCCCGTTTTGGTGTGGGTTTCCTACGGGTGCTCCAGTTTTCCCCACAGTCCAAACACATGCGCTATAGGGGAATTGATGTACTAAATTGGCTGTAGTGTATGAGTGTGTGTGTGTGTGTGTGTGTGTGTGTGTGTGTGTGTGAGAATGTTAGAGTGTATGGCTGTTTCCCAGTACTGGGTTGCAGCTAAAAGGGCATTCACTGTGTAAAAAA